TGGAAGTCGGTCAAAAGGACCCAGGGGCCAACTGCAAGAGTCCCCAAATGCCAAAGCTAGAATAACGTGAACAACAAAATAAATCAAGTAGTACTGGATTATATAACCCAAAATATAAAATAAGTACCCAAGAGTCCCTACTGATGAAAAGAAAATGATTGAATAAGTTAATAGAGAAAAGAGACACATCTCCCTTGCAGAAGAATTCCCAGATTTATTTATAATTTATGCCGGTACTTTGCCCTCAAGGAGGTGAAGCATAAGCTCCGTGCTCCTTAGGTGTGGGCTTAACCGAGTAACTGACTCCCGTTCCAAGAGTTCAGTACGGAAAGGGAGAGGAACGTGAGAGTGGAGAAGTCTGGCAAACAGCAGGCAATCAAGCCAGGTAATCAAGGTTAGCATCAACAGGGATCCATCCTGTGGACAGTACGTACCCTAGACATGCTGGGTTAAAATGCCACTTTACCTCTGAGCTCTTCCTCTGAAAAACACATAACCCTGGTCTAATAACGAGAAAGGCAAATTCCAATGGAGGGACAATCTCTTAATAGAGATTGCCCAGTATTCTTCAAAACCGTCAAGATCATCACCCCACAACCAAGAGGGGCCTAAGGAGGCATGACAACTCCCTATGTGTCTACACAAACGCTCCTGGAACAGAAAAATATATTAAAACTTAAGGAAATCTGAATAACGATGGGCTTTAATATTCATGACATCAACATTGGTTCATTCGTTGTAATGAATGAATCACAATACTGTAAGATGCTAGTAATAGGGGAAACTGGATGTGGGGTATATGGGAGCTCTGTCCTATGTGTATTTCTGTAGGCCTGAAATTGTTCTACAAAATGAAGTCCATTCTAAGCAAATAAAGTCTTAAAACACAAATGTAAAAAGGCGAGGCTCCTGGCCCTGGCATCAGACCCAGTCCCATCACTTGTCAGCTGGCTCAGGCTTTGAAGTTTAGAGGACCCGGTGTTCACAAAGCAGGTAAAGTTCAGTGTAGGTGAACATCAGACCTTCAGAGGCGGGTGTATAGAAGCAGCACTCACCAAACTAAGTCAGCTCAGATCCCCAAAGGAGGGAAAGGAGGGATCAAGGTGGTCGCAGCCCAACACCACCAGGCTAAGACACTGGAGGGAGGGGCAGTGGGGCTGCCTGCCACAGGCACCCAAAGTTCCCTGATCTCGTGAGCGACCAGAGGAGGCGGCCTCATCCCAAGACCACCATCCAAACAGAATCGTCCCCCCGGGGCTCGCTCGGATCTGGCCTCATCCCAAGACAACCATCCGAACAGAATCGTCCCCCCGGGGCTGGCCCAGATCTGGATCTGTGATTTACCATGAGCCCTAGGCCCACTGTACCTGCAGTTCATATCTGTTCGTGGGATGAGAATAGGAAGCCCCTGAACTTCATGCTGCTGCCCTTTCCCGGAGGACTCGGTGAGTCTGCTGACTTCACAGAGCCTTAGTACTTCCTGGCACAAAGATGTGGTGTTAGCTGTCAGCATTCCCCAACCTGCTCCCTCCGGGGTCTCCAGCTACAAGAGTCCAATGGCTCTGAAGTCCATTTTGGAATGGGGCGACAAGTGTTATGAATGAATCGTCTGGAGAATGCCAATGATCTCGGAGGAGAGCCTGGTTCGGATTTGCTATCGACCCGATACCAGTATTTGCACTGAAGTGACATAATTGGAATTCTGAACTGACCCCACATGCGACAAGGTTATCTATCCACTGGAGTACTGCTTATAATAGCCAGAGACTGGAAGCAACCTGAATTCCCTTCCAGAAAGGGCTGGTTAAGTAAATATGTGTGCTTATATATGTGTTACTATTATCTTCCTCTGCCTGTATGCCTGTAGGAGTGTGTGTGTGTGTGTGTGTGTGTGTGTGTGTGTGTGTGCCTGTCAGCAAAGCACACACACCATAAACACATCTCTGGAAGGGTTCCTCAAGATACTGGAGATACTGGTGGCCTCTGAGGAGGGGACTGGGGGCTACGAGACTCAGGAAGGAACTTCTCACCATAGAACCTTTTGTATCTTGCATTTTGAACCATGTGAATGTATAATAGCTCAAAAATATTTAATACAACCAGAGGAAAAATAACACACTGCTGTGGGTCACAGATGCGGAGGTTGGTGTGGGGGCATCGCCAAATCAAATGGCAGGGATTCTGTGGCTCTGGGAGGCACAGGACGTGTCTGGTCCGGTCCAGCCAGCAGACGGTGGCAGGATGGGGCGTGACTCTCAAGGCCTGCGGCGTCCCACAGCTGCAAATGCTTCCTACGGCAAGTTGATGCGGTGGGGGGGAGCATGTATACGTAGATAACTCTAGAAAATCCAAACCCCTAACCTAGGACCCCACCCTCATCTTTCCAAAAGGTCCTTGTTTCAAACCGCAGTTGAGACAGCACAGGGCAGGGGTCAAGGGGCGAGGCTCCCAGTCAGCGGGATGACACCTTGGACAGTGCTCTCCCCTCTGGGTGTCCGTAAAGAGCAACAGCGACCTGACTTCCCTCACGCAGGTGAGCCTTTCATGGTTAAGTGAGCTATTCCTGTTTTTACATCATTACACATCAAGAAGCTACCCAGGGGAGCGCCTGGGTGGCCCAGTTGGTTGGGCGACTGTCTTCAGCTCGGGTCATGATCCCAGAGTCCTGGGATCGAGTCCCACGTCGGGCTCCTGGCTCATCAGGGAGCCTGCTTCTCCCTCTGACCCTCTCCCCTGTCATGCTGTTTCTCTCTCCTCAAATAAATAAATAAAATCTTTAAAAATAAAAATAAAAAGAAGAAGTTACCCAGGGCTCTTAAACTTAGTAACACAGAGTTGAAGAGCAACAAGGAAAGTGCAGAGGCCTGCAAGCCCCACCACGAAGGGGCAGCCTCCAGAATCACCACTGTCCACGTCCACTGCCCTCCAGAGGCCTGACTTCACACAGTGCCCCGCAGGCCTTGCCTGGGCCCTACCACCGGCCCTCACAGCGACGCCCAGCCCTTCACACTCCGGGCCCCGTGCTTGGCCTGCTGCCCAATACACAGCAGCCCCCCGGACGTGCCAGGACTCAAAACCCACAAATAAACAGACAATCGGCTCAGGAAGGTGACACAGGTCTGGGGACGGATGGTGGTGATGGTTATACAGCAACAGGAGTGTACTTAATGCCACTGGATGGGGCCCTTACAGATGGTTAAAATGGTCACTCATGTATATTTTACCGCAGTAAAAAAAAAAAAAAAAAAAAAAAATGGGTGAAGTCTCATCTCATCCTCACCTGCTCTTAGGTCTCCCAAACTGCAGCCCATCCCTTGCTAATCACATCAGTTCTATTCTCTAAATGAGAAAAGCGCCCCCAATTCCCTTCTGGGTCCTCTTCTGCCTCTATGCTCCTCACCAGCTGGTATCACGAGGCCCTCGGCTTTGAACAGAGTTCCCTGAGTGCTCCCCAAAGCTGCGGGTCCCCAGCCCAGGTGCCACCCCCTCCGAGTCCCAGCAGCCCAGCACCCTCCTGCCCTCGACTCCTTCCTCCCCAACCTCTTAAGTCTCCACAAACAGCACCTCCAGCTAAATGCTCGGGCCCCTCCTCTAGGTGATCCCTGCTCCCCGCCCCCTGCACCCCAACTTCCCATCCATCTGCGCTGCCCACGCTTCCCTCCCTCCTCCCCACGCTTCGCCCCACGCCACCTTCCTTCCTTGCCCCGGCTCCTGCACAGCTGCCTCCCTGCCTCCACCCCTGCCCTCCCCACAATTCATCCCCTCACAGGGGCCAAAGCCATCTTCATGAAAGCCAACTCAGACCATCGCTTGCCAGCTTTAAACCCTCCCAAATTTCTCAGGGCTTCTGGAAGATGTCCGAATTCCTCACCTTGGGTCACAAAGCCCCAGGTCATCCGGTCCCTGCCCACCTACCCCCACTGGTGCTCTGGGGCAGGCCCCTCACTCCCTGGCCAGCCCCCCCGGCCTTCATGTTCCTTGCTCCTCCGACCTCAGACCCTTTGCCCTGGCTGTGTCCCCTCCCTGGTCCCTCTCTCCTCCTGCACCTCACACAGCCACTTCTGACCGTTCCCAGCTCAGCCCTTAACCTCTCCTCCTCTGAAAGGCCTCCTTACCCCCAACATCGGAAGAGGCCCTGGCCACTTCTGCTCCTCCCTCCCATTCTTTCGACAGCATGATCCCCCTACCGCCATCTGCCTGGCTAGAGAGGTCAACCACGCAGGCAGGGGCTTGTCTGCCTCGCTCCCAACGGATCCCCAGTTCCTAGAACAGGCCTGGCACGGAGTAAGGGGCTGTGCAGCAGCGAGCAGGTGTATGATCAGATCAACAGCAACCTGCTGCCTCACAAGGGAGCCTGCAGCTTGGAAAGCCACCAACAGGCAGAGTGGCAGAAACAGGTGAACTATACGGAGGGGGAAGACACAGTGGCAGAAGAGGAGCTGGGTGAGGGGAAGAGGACATCCAACTGAACGGTGACCGTGACCATTACTCCCTGCAGCAAAGACATGGCCCACGTGGCGCCTTGACCTTCACGGACAGAGCCCAACCCTTCATTGGCACCCCCACCTACATTGTGCTTTGTGTGAAAAACAACCCTGTGACTCACCCTGAAGGAGGGGAGGGAAACAGTTTGAAAGTCACAAAAATATATTAAAATAGCTGTTTTCTTCTCTTTCTCTTGGTACTGGCCTCCCTTCCCAGCGACCCTTGCCCACCACCCACCATGGGCTTTCAGAGGAAAAGGTGCCCAGGGCAGGAAAACAGAGGCGCCCCCGCTGCAGCCCAGGGTCGGGGGAGGTCCCTCCAGCCCGGGCGTGAGGGCAGCTAACAGTCTCTACAGGCTCGACGCCACCGCCGACGAGGGGGTCGCTGGGAGGCCGGAGGTGCAGGAGGGTCAGGCAGGACGCAGCGCACGGTCGGGCCTTGCCACGGGGACAGAAAACAGAAGAGAAATGAACAGTGTGAAGACAGGGAGAGACAGAGAAGTTAAAGGAGCCGTGGGGAGGGGGGACAGATGGGGGAGGGGGCAGAGGAGCGAGGGGAAGTCGGGACGTCGGTAAGGTGGGGGGACTCTGTGGGGGACTGGGGAGGCCGGGGAGCTGGGGCGGAGGCAGCAGATGCTGCCGAGGGGCAGGAGGGGGAACAGAGGAGGGAAAAGAGCACTTGGCTCTGGGAGAGGTAGAAAAGTGGGTCCTGCCAAAGGCCACAGTCCGAGAGAAGAGAACAAAGGACATGAGAAAGGAAAGTCCTAGAGCAGCAAGGCCAGGCCACAGCGACCATGTCGGACTCAGAACACTGGGGTGAGCCCCCAGAAAGCTCGGGCCGGCTCGAATGCCTGAGGGAGACAAGCAGTGTCATCCAGGAGCCAGCAGAGGGCTGGGCATGGCCTCACGGGAGACCCTGCCAGAGCCAGGAGCCTAGAGAGGGGCCCGTGCCCCGCCCAGAGGCTAGAAGGTCCTGCGGCCCAGTCTTTTGAACACGCTCACTGTGCCCGCATGGTCCATCTGGGCACCCAGGCCCTCGCTGGAGCTGCTCCCCCGGGGCCCCACCAGAGTCCTCTTAATGGTGACCTTGACCTCGGCCAAGGACTTACTCTTGGTGCTCGTGACCTGGCTGTCCTGGGCCTCGGGCACAAGGGCAGCCTTGCCCAGTCTCTGGATGATGCTGACTTTGGACAGGGACTCCGGCTTCCTCTCGAGCCCCGGGCGTGAGGAAAGGGCCAGGCGCCGCAGTGTCGGGGTGGCGGCCGTCGCGGCTGAGCTTGTGGCCTTGGCTTTGACAGTCAGTGCCGGCTGGGGACTGGGCTTGGCTGGGCCCCGGCCCAGCTTCTTCAGGACCCCGGCATACTGCAGGACAGAGCTGCTGCTGTCATTGTCGCTGTCCCAAGCCAGATCCTCATCCATCTCTGGGGTGGCCCCCAGGCGGCTGAAAACTCCTGTGGGCTGCAGGGGTCAGAGATGGAACAAGTGAGTCACTTAGTCATTCAACACACATGAGTGCAGTGCTGCCTCACTGTGCCCGGCCTCGCTGGGAGAACACCCATCGGTGACACGGTGACACGGTGACACGCTAGCCAGTGGCGAGAGCCACTGACCTTGGCCGAAGTTCAGGAGAGACTCCCTGGACAAGGGACATCTGAGATGAGATCTGCAAGTGTGGGCACATAGGTCTAATAAAGATGGGAAGAGAGAGGGTGGGCCACACACAGAAGACCATTTGCAAAGGTCTGCAGGGGAACATGACAAAAGACGAATCTGGTCATTCACTCAACAAGTATCTCCTGAGTCCCGACTGTCCCTGGCCCTGCCCTCAGGGGGCTCACAGTCCAGTGGGGGAGACAGGTCTGGCAGTGGAAATGACACAAACAACTCCCTAATTACGACAGTGGTGCATTCTCTGGACGAGACAGGAGTGCTGGCGAGCCGGAGATGGGGAAGCCTCCTCTGGGAGTTCAGGGACGCCTTCTCCCAGGTGCTGACGTGTAAGCCATGCCCTCAAGGATCAATCAGCCGAGAAGAGAGCAAGGGCCAAGCCCCCAAGGCAGGAATAAGAATCATATCTATGGAGCACGCCCTCTGTGCTAAGCTCTTTACGTGGCTGCATCTTCTAGCCACATGATCCTGAGTGTGATTATCATGCTCATGATAAGATTCTAGGAGGTGAGAAAAAGGTCAGGTAAGCCCTGGTGAGCAAGGGGTGGAGAGGCAGGAAACGCAGCCGGGGAGCTCCGGCGCAGTTAATCGAAGGTGACATTCAAAGCATGCCTACCACGCATCAGACACCCCCAGCACTGTGCAGGTATATCTCACTTAATCCTCACAACCACCCGACGAGGTGGGTACTAGACAGACAAGGAAACTGAGGTACAAGGAGCTTAAGTGACGTGGCAAAGCTGGATTCACACTGGGCAGGGCTCAGGCCGTGTGCTCCTAAGCACACACCGTCCCCTGGGCCCTGCAGTCCGAGGCAAGAAGGGCGGCGCTCATCTTGACCACGGTGAGCAGCGTCTGATGGGGGGCAGGTGGCCTGTCCTGTGGATGGGCACACACTGCCGCTGTGGGGGAGGGGCAGGAGATGAGGGGAGGTGGCAGAGCAGGGAAGACAGCTGGAGCCGTCACCGGAGCCTGCCTGGAATGGGGGCACTGGGGCATCCCTGAGACAGGGACTGGGAGAGGAGGCCCTTTAGGGGAAGATGCCGAGGCCAGTCTGGGACAAGGTGGTGGGAGCGGCCCGAGGGCGGCAGGCAGGAGTCGCCAGACCCCAGGCACTGGAAATCAGGAGAGAGGTCGAGGTGCGAAGAAGGAACTGAGGCTGTTAAGGTGGGTGAGGCGGCGCAGGGAGTATGAGGGCCTAGATGTGGGACGGACACCCGCAAGGGAGACAAATTAGAGCACGTCAGGTGGTTTCCCCGTTCCCAACTCACTTTATTGCCTGTCGTCGTGTCTGCCTTGGTCTCGGCGCCGAGGCGGTCAAACACAGACGTCCTCTGGAGACCTGGGAGGGAAGTGAGCCCTCAGCCAGCACCTGCTGGGCAGCGCACGGAGCCCAGGCCTGGCCGAGCACCATGCATCGTGCAGACAAGGGAGGGGAGACACGGCTAGTCCAGGCCCAGGCAGCTCTGGTCCAGGCAGGCACAGACTCTGCGTCTACACCCTGGCTAACGCTGACCCACACGTCTCTGGCTAGTGCCAACTGTGGGAAGGATCCACTGAAACTGACCCGTGGGCTCCTTGACTGTACAAGTTCGAGAAATGTGTGTGTGTGCAAAGGGTTCTTAATTCCTACTTGTTCCCTTTACTCTTTTGGGGGTCATGGGGCTCTGAGAGCCTGCCGACTGGTGATAAGCGCTCTCCCTAAATCCCAACCCAAATAGCCATTGATAGAATGTTTACTAAGTCATGATATATAAATACGATGCATATATTAAATGACCATTAGAAAGAGTGAAAGCACGGGGCGCCTGAGAGGCTCAGTCGGTGAAGCGTCTGCCTTCGGCTCATGATCTCGGGGTCCTGGAATCAAGCCCAGCGTTGGGCTCCCTGCTCAACGGGAGGCCTGCTTCTCCCTCTGCCCCTCCCCTGCCTGTTCTCTCTCACTCTCTCTCTAATAAATAAATAAAATCTTTAAAATAAATAAATAAATAATAAAAAATAAAAAGAGTGAAAGCAGACCCACAATCCAGGTGAAAAGATCTCAATACAAAAGTTCTAGAATGGGGTGCCTGAATGGCTCAGTCAGTTAAGCATCTGCCTTTGGCTCAGGTCATGATCCCAGGGTCCTGGGATCGAGCCCTGCATTGGGCTCCCTGCTCAGTGGGGAGTCTGCTTCTCCCTCTCCCCGCACCCCCAGCCCCTGCTCATGCTCTCTCTCTCCCCCTCCAAAAAAACCTAAAAAAAAAAAAAGTTCTAGAACAATACCTACAGGATGATGCTATTTGTGATTTTTAAAAAACACTCATATGGGCCTATGTACAAATGCATGCGTGCAAGCTCACAGGTGCTGGTCTGGGTAGGTTAATGGTGGCCTGGGATGTGGGAGTGAGGGGACAGAGTCCGTCGGTGCTGTATATTCTTCTGCACCATGTGAATGTTTTTCCATGAGGATATGTACAATATTCTAAAAGGAACACTGTGGGGAAGACCCTCTCTGTGCCCCAGCTAGGGACTGAACCTCAACCAGGCTCCTCTGGCTCATAATGATGGCTCCCACGCTTTGGGCACCTGCCCTCAGCCAGGCATTGTCCCCACGTCACAGGCAAGCAGTCACGGAGTCCGAGTCCCCACCGCTCGGGAAAGAGGCGCCAGCCAAGGCACTAAGGAACCCTGCAACACTAACTGCAGGACGACAGGGCGGAGGCAGTGACGTGTCCTCCTCCTCTACGGCCACCATCACTGTCCCCTTGATCCAAGGCCCCCTGGATCTCGCTAGAGCCTGCCTCTCAGCCAGTGCCTGCAGGCGTGACCAACCCCGCACCATGCAACCAAAGGGAAATGCAGCCTCTACGCCCAATGGCGCCCCTGCCGGGCCAATACCTTTGGCCGCCTGTTGCTGCTCCAGGATCTTGCGGGTCCGGGGGGTGGTGCCTTTGGGCATGTTGATGATGTACTTCCCCTCCATCTCGGCCGTGACCCGGCGCCGCTTGGTGGGGACAGCCAGGCTCTCCTCCTCCCGGCGGGCCAGGGCTGCTGGGGAGTGGGGGAGGTGAGCATCTTCTGGGATGGGATGTTCTCCTGAGGTGGGGGCTGGACGCCCAGCAAAGGGCACAAATGTGCCCTTTATTTCCATGTGTTCGAATGACTAGAATCCCTTATCTTCCCAACCACCACCGACGCCAAACCACCAAGAAATTCAGAGGTCTAGGTGCAACAAGGTTGTTGATGGCGCTCAGAATCCCCACTCAGGCGGGCCTCGCAAGGCTCCCTGTGGCTCTGTCCCTGCCCCCCGGTAGGCTGACCTCCCAGCCCAGCCAGAGTCACCTCAGAAAGGGGGAAAGGTTCAAGAGCTCCAGCTAGGTGGTGGTTTCACGGGTGTAACAATTTTTTTAAATTAATCAAACTGTATACTTACAATGTGTACATTGTACATAAGTAAATTATACCTCACTTAGATTAAAAAAAAAAAAAGAATCCCCTCAGCACATCTGAGCCGGGTCACTCCCAGGCTCACTGTCCTTTTAATACTTCAGAAATGAATTTTAACTTTCTTGCTCATGACACACAAATCAAAAAGGCCAAAGACGGGGAGGAGGCACTTCTAAACACACAGGGCTGAAAGGGAGCACGGGCGGCGGAGGTGGACAGGGCCCCCCTCCCTGGGCCTCAGTTTCCACTTGTGCCAAGATCTTTGCTGTGGGGGTGAGGCCAACAAAGGCAGGACAGTGGGGCAGACAGCAGGAGGAGGGCTTGGAAGCCCAAAGGCTGGAGTCCTATTCCCAGCTTTCAAGCTGAGACCTGGAAGAAAAACAAAGGCCAAGCACAGAAGTCTTTGGAGGAAGAGTGTGCTGGGAGAAAGGAACATCAGGGGAAAGGCCCACGGTGGGAAGGAGCCTGGAAGGGACACATGGGAGGGAGCCAGGGGAAGAGATGCAGGAGATGGATACACATTATACAAAGCCTATAAGGACATGTGGGAAGATGACTTTACTACTGGAACAATGGGAAGCTCTGGAGAGTCCTAGCACAGGGTGAGAGGATCAGGTCGAAGGTCTGGAAGGATTCTCGTGGCTGCTGAGGAAACGGTAGCTTCCTGACCTCTGACCCCTGCCTCAAGCACAGGGCCTGGCACCAGTATGGGCCCTGGTGAGCATCTGGGAAAAGAGACTGAGCCACCTATAGTCCACAGCACTATACTGAACACTTAAGACCTTATGCAAAGGGTAATGTCGACGTTAAGTGTTCTTTCCACAATGAAAAATAAATAAAAAATCTAAAATGACTGAACCGACCACTGAGAACTGCAGTGCACCTGTACTGTTAGGTACACCGTCTCAAGGGCTTCCCACTGTCCCCATTCTACAGACTGGGAAAGCAAGGCCCAGAGAGGTGCAGGGGCTTGACCAAGCCTGAATGCTTTGGACACCCTGTGGTCTTCAAAGCACCCAGCTACATTGGGAACATGACCTCCGAATACCATCTGCCAACCCACCCTCACCCCCAGCTCCTCCCGCGATCCACCCAAGTCCCCTCACCGGCAGCCTTGGCACTCTTCGCTGCCATCTTGTTGGACACAGTGACCGAGATCTTGGAGGTGCTGGTGTCCGGCCGCCTGGGGGGAGTGCCGGGTGGGGAGTCGCGGTTCAGGCTGTTGGCGATCATTCGAGAGGCGGCTGCAGGGAGGAAAGGGGAGAGTCCAGTCGTGCCAGGGCCCCGGGGATGGGGGCCAGGATGGAGAAGGAAAGCCTTGGGACTGAATGGGGAAGGGGCAGCTGGAGTCACGCTGTGTCTACACGGCCATGATGGGGGTGCCTGGGGGAGGGCCAGTCTAACTAGGAGCTAGCCCACCCCTCACTGCGTGGGGCCTTTCCTGTGGCCCTAGACCAGCCAGGTTCCCATCACACCTCACCCAAGCTCCTCTCCCGGCTCCACTTCACCATGCTGGTCTGGGGGATCTTCCCCACCCAGCACCTCTTCATAGCACATGCTGTTGTGCTATGTGCTATGTCGACCTGGCATGCAGTTACCTGAGCACCAACCAGCTTGCCCTGGCTCTTCACTCAGGTCTCCTCTCCGATGGCACCTCCTCAGAGAAAGCTTCCTGCACCACTCCATCAACCTCCACCAGCCTGACCCTATGCTAGGCTTGCTTTTGTCTCACAACCCTAGTTACTGCTTGACTCTAAATGACACGGATTTGTCTACTGGTGGGCTCTCCGGCGAGTATGCAGGCCCCACCAGGAGACAATGCCTGTTTATTTCTGTATCCCCAGAGGTTGCAACAGTTTCTGGCACTTCACAGGTCCTCCATTAACATCCACTGGAAAAAATGAACACTCTCACGGAAAATCCCAACATCCCTACCAGAACAGGATCTACTGCAAGCCAATTTTACAGGTGAGGAAGCGGGGACTCCAGGAGGGGGTCTCTCCGCCAGGCCCCTGAGCAATGGTGAGTCCGGCTCCAGGGGGGCCATGGGAAGACATGCAGTGACGTCCCTCTGGGGATGAGGGACAGGAGTAAGGGCCGTCTCTGGTGGCCCCAGTCTTCTGCGGAGCAGAAGGAGGGATCCCAGGGCACCAGGGGGGAGCTACACCACGCAGATGGGAGGGCCAGCCCCAGTGTGGGAAGGACACGGGTCTCATCTCAGGCACAGTGTAGCTGGTTTTAGGGCCCGGGTTTCAAAAGCTCCTGGGGAAGACCTTCATGCTGGCCCGGCTCACTCCACAGTCCCGGGGATCCCCCACCCCCATTGGCTTTTAGATTTTGGTATTCCATCCTACCCACCCCCTAAAAGCCTTCCCTTTTCCTGCTATGTGCTCTCTCTCAAAACCTACTGAAGTCCCCCATACTGACCCTTGATGTGCTATTACAATTATATGTTGCTTGGTGGGTTTTTGAAATTGTAAGTAGAGCATACAGAAAAAATACATCAAAACCACACAGACCACTTAACAGAAAGTCAACTCCCACATACCCACCACCCAGGTCAAGAACTGGAGCCTTCCTCACGTGATGTGATGAGCACTGGGTATTATATGAAACTGATAAATTACTGAATGCTACATCTGAAACTGGAAACTGATGATGTATTAGAAATTGGCTAATTAAATTTAAATTAAACAAAAAGAAGAAGAAAAATTGGAGCTTTCCAAAGTCCGGGGATTGGCCCTTCCCAATCAGACCTCCTCCTTCCCCCTACCAGGAAAAAATGGTCAGTTTGCAGCCTGGCTCACTCCCCTGGTAATGACTGGTATATACCCTTTCACAGTTTTCCCAAGACTTTTCTTCACACAGCTCTGAAGCCGGATAGGGGTGGCTTTCTGGTGAGCTGCGCAGAATCTCCTGGGATGACTGGGATGGTCTGCTATAGAAGGTAAGCAGTTGAGAGGCCCTGCCTCTTGCAGTGTACCCAGAGGGAAACATCTTGCTTGAAAGGGATAAGGGATATGATGTTTCATCATGACAGGTAAGCACCATTTAGGTGGAAGAAAACAACTGTCTCTGCCCTAATGAATTTAAGCTGTAGTCAGATGTCAGACACACAGATACAGACACGCATATTCAAAAGCGTATAAAGTGCATACAAGTGAGTGTACCAAAAATGCTGTTCTGGAACATTCTTCCCTACTCCCTTTCCCTCTTTGCCTGTTTCCCCTATTCCTCCCAATTGCCTATTTTCTCCACTAGTATTTTTGTTAGTTTTACTTTTTTAAATTTGTTTTAAACGAAGACCTTCAGAAGGCTATAAAAAATACACACTATCTGACTTCAGTTTTATATACTTGACAGACTAGCAAAAAAGACTAACAAAAATGGACATTCTGTGCTGTGAGAAATCAGGGTAATTGGTGCCCTGGAGAGGGGGGCAGTGATGCCGCTCAGGTTTGTTTCTGGATTTGGATGCTGCTAGCTACACGGCCGTTGCGCCTGTGGAAAGTGATTCAGCTGTACTTTCATGATCGCACACTTTCCCCTATGTAAGTTCAGGCAGACTGTTGCAGCAAAGAACTCCCGATTTGTTCAGCCTCCCTTTGTCCAGGCCTTTGGGTGGCACTGCCCACACCGACGCTGGGCTCAGGCACGTGACGGGCTTTGGCCAATGGGACAAGAGCAAGAGTTACACAAGCGGAAGCTTAAGAGGTGCTTTGCACCGTGGGGCCTGCCCTCTCCTGCGGCTCTGGGGAACCCTACGGTCAGCACCGTGTGGACGAGCCCGGGCTCGCCCGCTGGAAAACGAGCGACATGTGGCCCAGTCACCTCTGTTGGCCCAGATGATATCAAGCCAACCACCAGACACGTGAGTGACGCCATGCTAGATCACCCAGCCTCAACCGAGCTGCTAGATGACCACTGAGATCAGCTGAGCTGGCCCAGAACAGAACTGACCGCCCAGGTCATAAAATCATGAGAAATAAAAGTCAGTGTTTTAAACCCGTTTGGGGCTTGTTATGCAGCAAAGGCTAATATGCATATAAGATTTTTTTAAAGTTTATTTTTCTTGGGATGCCTGGGTGGCTCAGTTGGTTAAGTGCCTGCCTTCGGCTCAGGTCATGATCCCGGGGTCCTGCCAGCTTCTCCCTCTGCTTGCTTGCTTGATCTCTCTCTCTCTCTCCCCCTCTCCCTCTGACAAATAAATAAATCTTAAAAAAAATAAAAATAAAGTTTTTCTTTTTTTTAAAATTTTATTTATTTATTTGAAAGAGAGAGAGACACACACAGCGAGAGAGGGAACACAAGCAGGGGGAGTGGGAGAGAGAGAAGCAGGCTTCCCGCCGAGCAGGGAGCCCAATGTGGGGCTCGATCCCAGGACCCCAGGATCATGACCTGAGCCGAAGGCAGAAGCCCAACGACTGAGCCATCCAGGAGCCCGAAGTTTCTTTTTCTTTTTTTTTTTTTTTAAAGATTTTATTTATTTGACAGAGAGAGACACAGCGAGAGAGGGAACACAAGCAAGGGGAGTGGCAGAGGGAGGGGGAGAAGCAGGCTTCCCGCGGAGCAGGGAGGCGGATGCGGGGCTCGATCCCAGGACCCTGGGATCATGACCCGAGCCGAAGGCAGATGCTTAACCATCTAAGCCACCCAGGCACCCCCCAAGTTTATTTTTCTTAAAAAGGTATCACACTGGGGCGCCTGGGTGGCTCAGTCGTTAAGCGTCTGCCTTCAGCTCAGGTCATGGTCCCAGGGTCCTGGGATCGAGCCCCACATCGGGCTCCCTGCTCAATGGGAAGCCTGCTTCTCCTTCTCCCACTCCCCCTGCTTATGTTCCCTCTCTTGCTGTGTCTCTCTCTGTCAAATAAATAAATAAAATCTTTAAAAAAAAAAAGGTATCACACTGCTGAAAAAAAACAAATGTATAAATACAGTCTGTTCTCACCATTCACAGATTCCCTATTTGCAAATGTGCCTCTTCGCTAACATTGATTTGTAACCCCAAAACCAATACTTGTGGTGCTTTTGTGGTCATCCACAGCCAGGCACTGAACAGTGAAAGACCTGAGTCACCTGACACCCACTCGCCCCCTGAAGTCAAATGAGGTGACACTCTGCCTTCTTGTGTCAGCTCTCACACAAGTAAACAAGTAGGCTTCTCGCGGTCTATTTCGTGCCATGTTTTTACATTTTTGTGCTTTTTGTTAGTGATTTTGCTGTTTAAAATGGCCCCCAAGCATAGTGACAAGGTGGTTTCTAGTATTCCCAAGTGATGTGCCTCACAGAGAAAATATATGTGTTAGATTAGCTTTGTCCAGGCACGCGTTATAGTGCTGCTGGTCCCCAGCTCGATGTTAACGCATCGACAACATATAACAAATGAAAGGTCTTTAAACAGAAACACACATAAAGTTGGGTCTGCACTGATCAGTTGACAAAGATGTTGTAACCAGAGGCTCGAAGGAACCTAACCTTGTATTTCCTCCGGGAGCAGCGACTCGGGACTCGCTAATTCAGTGTTCGCTTAATAGAACTTTATAGAACAGAACTGCCACCGATGGAAATCAGCGGCTGAGAGAACCTCAGATGCAGACTCCAGGTGTGTCCCCTTGACAACTAAACTACATGAATAAAGGGAAGGAACCCTAGGTGGGTGGGACTCACCGCTAGAGGCGCCTCGGCGGATCTCGCCTGGGATGGGGCTGGGGTTGCAGGGCACTGACTCAGTGGCAGCCTTGCACATGTCCTATAAAAAAAAAAAAGACAAAAACAGGTGTCTGGGTTACCAGAGGGACAAGGGCACGAGGTCCGGGAACAGAAATCTGAGCAACACTGGAGGGATCAGAGTCCGAGCTGCTAGAGAAGAGATTTCAGAACACTTCACTCCCAACCATGAGAAAGCAGCAGACACACCCAAACGGAGAAACGTTCTGCAAAACACCTGAGCAGTACTCTTCAAAACTGTCAAGTTCATCAAACACCGGGCAAGACTATGGAACTGTCACAAATTAACAGAGACCAAGGAGACGTAAGGAGACTTAAGTAAATTGCAAGGTGGTATTCGCGGAAGAGAAAGAAGACATCGGTGAAAGAACTGAGAAAATCCAAGCAGTCTGTGGTGTAGTTAGTGGGAGCGTGCTAACGTTCCTTTCTTATTTTTGACAAACGCGCCATGTTTACATGCGGTGCTAGCATGAGGGGAAGCTTAGTGAAGGAGATACAGACACTTTCTGTACTGTTGTCAGAACTTTTCTGTAAACTTAAAGTTGTTCCCAAATTTAAAAGTTTAAAGGGGGAAAAAAAGCTTTGCTCAGTGACCTGTTCTGTGGTAACTCAGGGAACGCCCCTGACTTGAGAGAGTGCTCACTGTGGGGTCCTGGCTGGATGATGGCCAGGTGAATGCCTGTCCCTGGGTGGGGGAAGCAGCCAGTGTTTGGTAAAGTGAGAGTCTGAGAGCACAGCTCTGAGGCAAGCTTCCTTCTCAGTCGAGTGGAGTGAGCAATAAATGAGTTAAAATGCGTAAAGGATGCAGACAGGTCCTGACAGGCTATGGTAAAGCCTTGGTTAAGTGTCAGCTATCAAGATTCAACAAGCTCTTCATTCCAGGTCTGGCGCTCGGTGCCACACAACACTATCTGGTAGGTGGCCACAGTCCCCTATACAGGAGTGGAGTGTGAAAAGCCTGTTTCAGAGAGACTCAGGGAGGTAAAGATCACTTGTCTAAGGTCACTGTAAGTGGAGGGGCCAAGAATGGAATAACCATGTTGTTGGCCAAGTCACCGACTGAGTCCCACAGGGGGAGCTCCTGTCCTGGGGACAGAGAAGAGTCCTGCTAATGATGATCATCATCATGAGGAAGATGAAAACTAGTAATGATAATAGAGAGCCTTTACTGAGGCCCAACTATTTACACTGTACTGGGGCTTTATTTAACTCAGTACTTACAACCACCTTGCAAGATAGGTCTGCCTATCTGCATTCTACCAATGGAGAAAGAAAGGCTCAGAGAGGTTAGGCAACACGCCCAATGTCACACAGCAAATGCTACAACCGGCCTTGGAACTCAGGTCGGCCTGCTTTTGCTTCCAAGCCTCCTGCTGGCTCTGCTACCGTCCCTCCACCGCACCCTAAACCCAGGGACCAAGGGGTTGGGCTGCGCACCCACCTGACGGTGCACCACCTTGGCATGCTTGAGGATGGCAATGATGTCGCCCACCACAGTCACGCCCAGCTCATTCATGATCTCTTTGTTGAGATCCAGCAGCATGCTCTTCTGGATCCTGCAGGGGAGGGTCACCAGTGAGGCCACAAGTGGGTCAGGACGGATGGGCCAGCCAGCTCCCTTCTCCCCCCACCTCTCCCCTCCTCTCTCCAAGTTCCCGCTCTGTCCCCTTGGCCCCCTTACCTATTATCCACAAACATCACAGCGTAATTCACAGCAGGCCCCGGAGGAATGCCGGCTTCCTTAAAGAACTGGATCCACTCGGAAGTGGCTGGGGGATGGACAGGGCTCATTATTCCCATTATTCTCTCCAGAGAAGAGTAGCCGCAAAACCGCGGCTCCCACAAATTAAATGCTCAACGTACGCCAGGCCCTGGCCGAGCGCTTCACGGAGACAGTGGAACTCCGCCCGCCCACACCCCTGTGAGGAGCTCAGCAGCATTAGGACTCCCTCACTCTGCCAACCAGGAGACTGAGGCCACGAAGGAGGCCTGAGGAGACTGAGAACACGAAGCCCATGTGCTTCTGTACGGCCCTTCTGCTCACAGCTCTGCCCTGGCCGCGAGCCACCACGATCATCCCCACGCTTGGCCAGTGCCCGAGTTCAGGGAGCCGGGACTCTGGGTTCTCCGCCCTGGTCCCCATTGGCAGGCCCAGCTCCCGAGGGTGACAGGATCCACAGGTGACCGGAAAGAAGGGACACAGCCGGCCTGTGAGCGTCAGCAAGCCCTCTCCTCACCACAGGAGGAGCAAGCAGAGGCTTTGGTGCTTGGGTTCAAATTCTGGCTCTGCCACCTCCTGGCTAAGGGCCTATGGGAAATTAAAGCTTGAGGGTCTCCGTTTCCTCCTCTGTAAATTTAGGGATAATACACTCAGTAAGGATTTACCGAGGACTTGGCACAGGCCAGGTCCCATTTTAAGGACCGGGGATTCCAGGACACAAGACAACGTCCCTGCCCTCATCGAGCTCACATTCCAGTGATAACGCCCACATTCTTGCATACTTGGATCACTGTGCAGACTCGGTGAGAGTCCCCATAAAGGACTTTAAGTGACACCTGGCCCAGGGGACAAGCTCATCTCATAGCAGCTGCTGCTATTCTTATTCTGCCACCACTACCACCGCCAAGGCCAAGACCAGGGACACACCCACCCATGAAGCCTTATTTTTTCTAAACTTCTCTGTTTAGCCTCTTGGGTGTGACCTTCAAACTGACCCTGGTCTGGCCAACGGGTGTTAGATAAGATCACTAATTCTAAGAACTTTCTTTTCACATTTTAACATCTCTGAAACTAAGAGCCACCTGGCAATCAATGGTGGGCCGTGGTTTCACTGGGGAAACTTTTTTCTTTAATAGCACTACACCCAACAATCGAAACAAGAAATTTGCTACTGCTATGCCCATTTTGCTTATAAAACCACTGAGGCTCAGAGTGGGGAAAGACTCTGGTCTAGGTGACTTCAGGGCTCGGGCACAGGCCCAGGGGCCACCCCTCTGCCCACCTGGCCACAGGCCTATCTCCCCAAGATTGAGGGGAGGTGAGGAGCTCGTGCCCTCCGGACTTCTGCCACCAGCCCAGAGAACAGGGGGCGTTTTTCTGCCTTACACAGGCACTATCCACCTGCCCAGGCATGGGGCCCTGGGTTCTATTAGCCAAAAGTAGGCAACTTCGTCCATTAAAAAAAAACACATAATGATCCCACTTATATGAAATGTCCAGAATAGGTAAATATCTATAGAGATCTACAGAGACAGAAAGCAGATTAGTGGTTGCCAGGGGCTGGCAGGGAAAAGAGAGTGACTATTAGTTAATGGGTACGGGGGCTTTCGGGGAGTGATGAAAAGGTTTTGAAACTGATTGTGCTGATGGTTGCAGAACTCTGAACACAGAATATAAAAACCACTGAACTGGACACTTTTTAAAGAGGGGAATCGTATAAAATGTGAACCGTATCTCAGTTATGTTGTTATTAAGGAGGGAAAAGAAGCCACATCGTTTGGGGGTGGCTTAGCTGCCTGAAGCAAAGTCGAGGAACTGCAAACGTCCCCACATCGGGCCTTTGCCATCATTTCACGTCCTACTAAAGAGAAAAATGCTGCAAAGTAAATGGTCAGGAGCACCCCCATTCCAGAAAGAGTAAGAGGGGACACACAACATGTGTCGTGGACTCAGTGACGTACGGTTTGCCATACACAGCAGGAGACACGCACTGGAATATTCACAGCAGCTGGTCTGTTAACAGCCCCAGCCCAGAAGCAATGCAGGATTGTGGACAGAAGCAGAGAAACCAAGGGTGGTCACATGCAAGAAATACTACACAGCAGCTCAAAGGAAAGAACTGCAGCTACACGCAGCCAGAGGGGACTTCCGGCCGTTATGCGGAGCAAAAGAAGCCGCACCCAGAGCAAGAGATAGAACATTTCCAACACCCCAGAAGCCCCCCCTGCCCCCACCACATTCCCTATGTAGTGACGTCTCTCTGTTTCTCGAGGGCAGCCAGCACCTTCCAACAGCATGGATTGGTTTTGCCTGTTTCTGTGCTCTATAGAAATGGAATCATAAAGGATGTAGTCCCACGTTTGCTTTCTAATTGCTCTCATGACCACACAAGGATGTCCTATGTACTTCTCTATACGCACAAATCTCAAAAAACATACAAGCTACCCGCTAACCTCTGTGCTTTGGCAATCCCACGGTGCAGAGCTTAAAGAGAATATAGTGATGGGGCTTATGAGAATCCTAACGGCTAACATTTGTTGGGAACCATGCCCAAGGTCGGACATGCAATAACCTACTTAACCCTTACAGCATCCCAGGACGTGGGGACTGCTAGTTTCTCCGTTTTACAGGTGAGAAAACTGAGGCTCTGCTGGGCTCCACATCACCAAGTTCTTTAAGGCTAGACTATGCCATCGGGAGGCCAAGATACAGAGTGGCTAGGCCCTGGGAAGGCCGCGGCCCCGCCTCCGAGGTCCTCAGGCAACAGCTGTTCCTGCCAGTGACCTGGCCCTCCCTCCCCCACCTCGTCCAAGGTCATACCTCAGAAAGGGCACTAGGGAGGGGGAGCCCCGGAGAGAAGGCCACAGACTCACCCATAGTCACTGAGACCATTGTCTCTCCGGCTCTGGTGCTGCTCCCGGGAGCCTGGAAGAGAGAACAAGGGCAGAGGGCCCATGAGTTGCCGTCGGGCTATGAGTGTTTGTCCCTCCTTCGCTGCCTGTCGGGCCTGCCTGCCGGCCAGAGGAGACTGCCCAGGCTGGGGGCTCACAGCCCAGGAATAGCCTGAACACCTGGCAGGAAGTCAGCCTGGGACAGAGCTGCCACAACTCTCATGGTTGCCTGGGACAAGGCCCAGGGACGGCAAATGTCCACAGCTCCATCCCCACACACCTCAGAAGCTTCTGGCTGGGATAAGAGAGGGAGAGAAAAAAAAAAAGACACCCCCCCCCACCGCCCCCCTCCCCCCCCAAGACTTTAACCATAAATACCCATTAGTCATCCATTCACAAATTTACTGACAGCCTACGACGTGCGAGGCACTATTCTAGGAGCTAAAGATCCTGAGGTGACCAGAAATACAGAGCGTGGCATCTAGATGGGGATAGGGGAAGGGGGACGAGAGAGTAAACAAGCAAAACGGATCACAATACGGTGAGTCAGAAAGCCCTCGGTGTCACCAGAACACAGAGAGGGCCTGGCAAGGGGGGAGGGGTTGTGATTCGAAATGGGGCGAACAGGGGAGACCCCTCTCAAGCGACAGAGACCTGAAAGAGGTGGAGGAGTGAGCCCTGTGGTTTTACAGAGGAAAAGCGTTCCAGGAGACGGTATAGCAAGTCCAATGTCCAGAGCCAGGAGCCCAGCTGGCATGGGTGCGAGACGGCATGGAGCCGAGGTGACTGCGGGAAGTAGAGGCAAGGGGACAGGGGGAGGCAAGTAGGAGGGGCTGAGGGCAGAGAGGTGGGCCACCACATCAGGAGAGCCTCGGACAAGCAACGGAAAACCAACGTCCACTTAGGTAAGACGAGCAGGTGCCAGAAAGCTGTTAAGGACACATCAGCACCAACGGGGACTTTCCCCTGAACATTACTGGGCGCCGGGGTGGCTCAGTCGGTTCTGTCTTCGGCTCAGGTCATGGTCCCAGGGTCCTGGGGTCGAGGCCCGAGTTGGGCTCCCTGCTCAGCGGGGCGCCTGCTTCTCCCTCTCCCTCAGCTGCAGCTCCCCCTGCTTATGCTGTCTGTCAAATAAATAAATAAAAACTAAAAAAAAAAAAAAAAAGGAAACTAAAGGGAAAAGCTTCCTTGCCTGCTAATTCACTGCGATCTGCCTCCAGGACCACTTGTCCCACTCAGCCCTCCTACCCTTCTCTGGCCCTACCCTCTGCTCCAAGCCCTCTGCCCTCTTCCTTCACTCTACTCCCCTCTACCCACACCGACCCCTGATTTTTTTTTAATATTTTATTTATTTGAGAGAGAGAGAGAGCATGAGAGTGGGGGGATGGGCAGAAGGACAAGCAGACTCCCCACTGAGCAAGGAGCCCCAGGACCCTGAGATCATGACCTGAGCCAAAAGCAGACGCTTAACCAACAGAGCCACCCAGGCACCCCCTGGCCCCCCATTCTGATCCTTCTCCCTCACCTTCCTCTGCTTGCTCCACACGGTGCAGAAGACCCTTTCTGCTCACCATCACACTAAATGCCCCTCCCTGCCCCCATTCTGTTGGTACAACAGAGACGGTATGAGAGTAAGGACTCTGGAACCAGACCACAGGGTTCAAATCTGGCTCTCTACCACTTCCTAGCTGCGTGGTCTCAGCAAGTTACTTCACCAGTCAGGCCTGGTGTTCCCATCTGGAAATCGGGATGGTACAGATGTAACTTCTCTTGGAGGATGGCTAGAACGCCAGATGAGCTTCTATGCTCGGAGTACCTGAGGCAGTGCCCATGTACCCTAAGAGTCTGGAAGCATTGGCTATTCTTACCTCTCAGGCCTCCTGTCTTAGCCTTTCCTCCGACTAGGGCTTTGCCTGCCTCCCGGTTTTCCCACGGAAGCTCACCTGTGCCTGGAATGCTTTCTTATCCTGTCCTCCTGGCAAGCTCTCCTTCACTCTGTTTGGCTGTCACCCACTTTGTGAAGCTTTCCCAAAGTCCCCAGATGTGAGACTCTCCCCTCTGCCTCCAGCTGGGGTTCATCCTGGCCTTCTCTGATGCTGCTGTTGCATCTCTTATTGATAAACAGGACCACAGACATCACTCTGACCCGTACTTGACTCCTAAGATCTACTTTGCCTTCTGGATTTTGCCACTGGACAAAGCCAACACCACCAGCATCTCTCCAAGAACAAGGCATGGTGAGGCTTCAATATATCAGACAGAAAGACAACATGTCACATACCAAGCACTGATTATGCACCAGGACTGGAGCCAGGCATCATGCTGACACCTCACAACCTCCTCATAAGGGATGACTATTATTAGCCCCATTTTAATCGATGAAAAAAAAAGACTCATCGAGGTACAGTCATCTGTCAAATGCCACATTTACCAAGTGACTTCACCGGGATTCGAAAACAAGTTCTCCCTGATCCACTGCCCAGTCAGTAACTCTTGTCGAAAGTTTACGTGCCAGACACTGAGTATACAGAGCTCAGTGTCTCTCACAACCACCCAGGAAAAAAAAGTTAAAATGATCCCCATGTTACAAATGAAAGTGGCAGGTCCAAGGTCACACAGCAAGGAACTATAGGGCCAGGATTTGAACCCAAGTCAGTCCAATGCATATGACTAACACTGGCTGAGGGATTACTACAAGCCAGGCACTGTGGTCAGTCTCTGTGAGGTGTCAGTTAATGCTTACCAGAAGCCTTTGGGAACTGGTATCCTCTCCCTACAGCTGCAGAAGTCCCCCTGCTGGACTCAATTGCCTCTCTCCTCCATTAAAAGCCCATCTCCAGCACTTTCTAAACAGTGAAAATTGGGACATTAATAATAATAGCAAATGACAGTTCCTAAAACTCAAGTAATTACCATGTATCAGACTCCCTTGCTAAGCCCTTGAAAGGCTTGGATCTACATCCTGACTTTACCACTTCCAAACCCCGCCCCTGGGGGCCAGGGGTTAACCTTAACCTTTCTGGATGTCACTTCCCTCAAATAGAAAACAAGAATGATAGGGGTATCTATTCTTAAAATGGTTAGAGGGATGAAGTGAGTTCATAAACACCAAGTCCTTAAAACAATGCTGGGCAGGTGATAAGTGCTATGTACATATGCATTAAATAAATCAAACTTCGGTGAGCTAGAGAAAGGGTAGGACAGTCACTGACCTAATGTCAGCCACATGCAAAGTGTGAGCAAAGAACAGAGTATAACTTGACAGTGCCCGCGGGACCGTGATATTCCCTTTTCAATTCTCTTTCAGCTTCTGTCTACAATTTAAATAGACTATTCGGCTTCTGTTGTATTTCGGGTTACGTTTTCCTTCTTTTCGCGGCCAGCAATGCTAGTTTTCCATAAGTACGCCAATATGAAATTTCCTTCTCAAATTAACTGACTGGAGGAAAAATGCATCAGTGGTTTTAAAGAAAAAGAAGAATCTAAATCTATGAGATCTGGCAAAATTGGTCAAATAGGAAGTGGCAGGATGTCGATTTGCCCAATTCCAGATTCCGAGTTTTTCCTATTGCTGTCTCCGAGCTTCCTCCTACCCTCTACTTCCCTGAAAGTCCCAGCTACACCAGTAACTCCCAGAATCATTATTATCATAGTCCCAATACAGTGAGCTCCTACTCAATACTGTGCGAAGCCCTTGTGCTAAGGGATTTACACGCACATTTCATCAGCATCCTCACAACGACCCTATGGTATAGAACTACTAACCCTCATTGTATAGATTAGGAAAATGAGGTCCAGAGAGGTTCAGGCATAGGCCTACTCCCACAAAGCTGGCATGGGACTGGAACCGAAATCGGCGGGCCTCCAATTGCACGTTCCCACACCCAGATCTTCCACGCCAAGCGCAAACATTATCATCGGTACAGTACTAACAATAATAGTATAGTAACGAAGTGTTCAGTGTGCTAGGCGCTGAACTAGGGTCTCCGACATGCACGAGCAGACCTCTCACTCTAAGCCATAAGGAGGATGCTACAGTCAGATTCTGGCCCCCATTCTACAGAGGAGGAAACTGAGGTTCAGAGAAAGAAGTCGCTTGTCCGGGCCGCAGAGCGACGCCGAGACTGATTCCAGAACCAGGACACCATCCATCCCCTCCGCATCCTGCCCGGTCCCACCACCCCGTGGCCCGCGCCTCACCTGACCCTCCGCGCCCGCGCCCACACGCGCGGCCCGCCCTCCCCCCCGGCAGCTCCAACTGTCAGACCCTCCTCCCTCGGCCCGGCTGCCCTCCCCGGAAGTACCGCCCTCGCCACCGGAAGCCGGACCCACCAACCCGCGGCCGCTCTGGCCCGCCGGACCGCCACCAGCGAGAGTTTGGTCGCAACTGTCACGTGACCTCCCTCCGTCTCCCAGGCGCTTCCCTCCGCCCCGCGCTAGCGAGGAGCGCGGCCAATGAGAAAGGCACATGCCTAGCCCCCGTCGTCCCGCAGTCCTGCCGGAGTGCGCCTGCGCGCGGCGGGGTGGCCGGGCGGGGCTCCAGCCTGGAAGGTGCCTGCGGGGCTGGGTCCGGGAGTGGGAGACGTGGAGTGCAGGTACTGTGCGAGCTGGGGGCGCGGGGCCTCTGCTACCCTTTTCGTGTTGTCCTTCCCTCTGTAATGCATTTCTCCCCTTATGTCATCCAGTGTCCCTTTATGTAGCCATCCTTCCCCTTATTTATGTCGCATCCCGGTTGAATGGTCACCACTCCACTTCTGTCGCCATCACCCTATCTATGTCGCTGTCAACCCCCTTAATTCGCTTTCGTTCTAAGCCCCCGTTGCCACCCTACATTGCAGCCTTCCCTCATTACGCCGCCATCGCCTTATGTCGCCTGCGCCCCTCTTTTGTTGCTATTTTTCCTTTATGAAGTCCTCACTTCTTCTAAGTCGTCATCATACCCCCGTTCACCTGCACACGCTCCTGTCACCAAATCCTTAAATCGCAGTCACGCTTCCCTAATGTCATTTTCACCCTTTATGTCTCCGTTCCTGCCGTGTCACCTTTGCTCCTGACTCTCACCGTGGATGCCTTACATGCTCCTAGTTTTCCCCATAAGGAGCCACTCTGCCTTCCAGTTGTTTTTTTTCCCTCCGTGTCTCCGTCATTTTCCCGTGTCACCTCTCACGTACCACCATATGGGCTACTAGAGCCTGTTTCCTGGGGTGTGCCAGATTCCCAGCTCTACCGTGAAACCTCTGGGTAACCTTGACCACCTGATCACACCTTTGCAATCTCAGCTTCCTCAGCTGTAAACCGCACACAAGGACACCTATGTGAAGGATGATTGTGAGGATTCTGCGAGTTTATTCTTGTGATGTGTGCAGCTTGATGTGGTGATTTGGGCTAATAATGTTATTAACCATGTCACCCTCACCCTCATGCAGTCTGCAGTCACCTTCATCACCTCTTCATTGTCACTTCCCCTCAGCTGCCCTCTTCATTCCCATGGCGCAGGTACACTCCCTGTATCATGATACCCTCTGCCACGGCAACCACCCCACGCCACCCCACGTCACAGTCTCCCATGTTCTCATCTCTGCCACGTCACCCCACCTGAGGGGGTGGCCCATCGGCCATCGCAAACCTTGCTCTGGTAAATACTTAATCCCTGTCTCTACCTTGATGGATTGAGTGGTTCCCCCACCCCAAAATGAGAGCATTGAGCTGATGCTATAGCGGGAGTCCAGGAGTAGTTGGGGGGGGGGGCTAGCTAGCTTAGACCCAGATTCCCTTGACTTCTAGAATCGGGGGTACAGAGAGATGAGGCAGGTCCCAGCACACCTCAGTCAAACCTCAGCAACCCTGAATGCTTGGGTAGAGAGGTAAGTATCTTATTCACTCAGCTTACCTTAGAGAGGCAGTGTGGGACAGTGGTTAGCAATGTGTGCCTGGGAGCTGGAACCCTGGTTCCAATCTTGGTTCTAGCACTTAGTACTTAAATAGTTGCATGGCCTTGAGAGGTGGCTTCACGTTCCTGTGCCTCAGTTGTTGCATCTGCAATATGGGAATAAAAACACAGTTACTCATTCAACAAATATTTACTAAGCGTGTTCTACATGCCCAACACTGTGCTAGGCTTGGGGGACACAGCAGTGAACAAAACAGAGATCCCTGGCTTCATGGAGTTTACATTCTAGCAGGGGTAAGAGACAACAAGCGAACAGGTAAGTAGATTCAATGATGTACCAGAAGAGGGGTGGGAATACATGGTAAAGGTTACAGTTTTAAATTAAGGTGGTCAGGGAAGGTTTTCTGAGATGGTACATTTGAACAAAGACCTGAAGGAGGGGAGAGAGTGATGTGGCTCTATGGGGAAGGGCATTCTAGGCAGAACAGCAAGGAGAGAAATGCAAGGGCCCTGAGGTCGGGGCATACATTGAATATTTCAGGAATAGCAAGTAAGCCAATGAGGGAGGAGAGGGGTGCGGGTGAGGTCAGAGGAGGGAGGGGGCAGATGGTCTGAACTCATGGGCCATGGAGAAGACTTGGGCTTTACCCTGAGTGAGGCGGGAGCCACAGGAGGATTTGGAGGAGAAGAGAGACTTAATCTGATGTGATAGGAGACAGCAGCCGCAGCTCCAGAACTTCTGCCAAGGATGGATTGGCAAGAGCCGCCTGGTTGGAAGGAGAGCCAGAGTTGTCCTCTTAAAGCTGCACTTACATATCCTTTATATTTGGAGAAGCTGCCAACGTCCTTCTCAAAGACTGGGAGGGAGAGGAGGAGGAGATGTTGGGAGAGTTTTTGAGAAGCCAGTGCCACCTCTGGGTTCAGGTGCTATTGGGGGCAGGGCGGGGGGTGGGGGTGGGTGGTAGTGGGCAGCCACAGATCTACAGATGATAAATAACACGAGAGGCAGCTGTCCACACCCGGGACCCCGAGGCAGCTCGGGATCAGATCCTGGCTCCACCATTCCTAGCTGTGTCTTTTTGTGCCCATGACTTGACTGAGACAGCCCTGTGCTGCCCTCTGGGTCTTTAGTTTCTTATCTGTTACACGAGGCTAAGAAAAGGACCAGTGTGAGAAATTAAATACGTAAAGTGCTTCCAGCAGCTGTTGGCTCAGTAAACAAGGAGCTCTGCCTTCTTCCGGGGAGGGGGCGGGGTAAGGAAAAGACATTCTGCCTTATTTTATGTTCATGAGTTGGTTCCACATCATAGTGTCCCGGAACAGAACTGAGCTCTGGGTTCGAATTCCATACCGACAAACTGACGCCGTACAAACCTGAGCAGAGATTTCCCCGACCCCTCCTGCCTCATCTGAAAAATGGGGCTAACAATGCTTTGCCCCCAGATGTGCGGGGGCGTGGTGGTATTTTTGAGCTGAGACATCAACCATTTTCCGTTGTGATGCTGCTCTGCCCCTCCCCTCTTTATTTTTCCCCAAAGCGCATACTCTATGTTTCACTCCTCTCTTGTCACCCCCAAGAGAATATCATCTTTACTAGGATTTTTGTTTTTTTCTGTTTTGTGCTGTATTCCCAGTGTCTACACAGGCCTTACCAGCAAGTAGTCACTGAACAAATACTAGTCAAATGAACAGATGAATGAATTGAGCACCCGCCACGTACCATCCCTATACTGGGTGGTACTGGGCACACAGCAGTGACTGAGACAGCCATGTGCTGCCCTCATGGGTTTCACAGTCCAGTGGGACAGACAGCCTCATCACCAGGCAGGGCCAGCCCAGAGGGCTGGGATTGGGGAAGCATAGGCAGAAGGGTCAGGGCTGGGATGGAGAAGCTCAGGGACTGTTGGAACCCAAAGCGGGGATTCTGGACCAGCCCAGGAGTCCGGAAGGGCTTCCTGGGGGAGGGGCCACAGGAGCTGATAGGAATGAGCGACATGAAGAGAAGAGAAAGGTGTGCTGGGCAGGGGCAACAGCTGTGGGCGTGTTTCATGGTAAAAGTGTGGTTTCAGTTCAAGGAACCGAAAGATATTAAATACGGATGGGATCTAAAGGGTGATGAGACAGTAAGCCGAAAAGGTTATTAAGGGGGAGATCATTCAGAGCTCTAGGAACCACACTGAGGATCTGAGACTTTGTCCTGAAGATACCAGGGGCTGGTGGGGGACATAGAGAGGTTTGTGAGCAGGAGAGGGTTGAGTTTGATTTAGTTGGAGGGGGAACTAGAAGGGTTGGGTGGAGGTTGGGAGCCAAGGGAGGTGGCAGGAGTCGGGACCCAGGTGGGAGAAGGCAAGTCGAGGCTGTGGAAGGGAGGAAAAAAAGGGGTGTGTGGGAGAGACCCTTAGGAGGTCAAGTGGACAAGTTGTGGAGGGTCCAGGATGAGGCTTAGGGCTTCAGGGCAATCAGGGAGGGCTTTCTGGAAGAGGTGACACACAGACTGAGACCTGTGGGATGGATAAGACAGCTGTCCTTAAAAAAAAAAAAAGCTGTCCTTGAAGTGGGGACCAAGGAGAGGAACAGGTTTGGGAGAGATTTTAAGGACAGTTGGGGACATGGTAGATGTGAGGGGCTTGGGAACCCATGGGGAGAAGCATCTAGAAGGCCGTGGGACTTCCAAAGCTGAAGTTCAGGGAAGAGATGAGAGCTGGAGAGAGCTTTGGGCCCTAGAGGACGTGGTAAGAAGTTTGCCCTTTGCTCTGAGGGCAGTGGGGAGCCACAGAGGGGTTTTGAGCAGGGATGAAACAGCTTAGTTTTTGAGTTCCAACTCAGAAATATTCACCAATCATGATGTGGTTTTGTTGTTGTTGTTGTTTTGTTGTTGTTTTTACCAATTTAATTGTTTTTCAGACCCAGCATCTTCTCTCCCTAGGAAGGGCACCTTCTAGGGGTCCTTTGAAATAAAGGTTCTACTGCTAAAAACCAAACCAACAAAGAAAGTTTCCAAAACCAGTGCTCTGTTCTGTTTTCTGTAGACTTGAGCTCAGACAACTGATTGTTCAGTCCAAAAGGGTCTGCACAATCAAGTGAAAATCAGCTCCTTTTAAACACATTTCTGTTTTGAACCATATGAAAGGTCCCTAGGTTCGTAAATGTTTCCTGTGGTGTAGTCTGTGTGGTATTTCCACAGCTCTCTCAGATGGCTTGAATCAACCTTAAATTGACCTTGAACTTTACTCTCAGGCCGAAAGGCCATAATATGCACCTACCCATCTGCTCTGGGCTTAGAGCACATGCCGGTTATCATTGTGTATAAAACAAATGTCACTAGGTCTAGAAAGACCTCTATGAAAGTCTCTTCTCCAAGATTCCCATTCTACTGTTCCATTTCTTCTGTTTTCAACAAATATTTATGGAGTGGTTATGATGTGCTGGGCACCAGGGAGTAGAAAAAGAAACCAAACACAGACTTAGGTTTTTAAGGGACACACAGATCTCACCAGCAAGCTTGTTTTGGGGGTTTGCTAGTCTCCCTGTCTGCCATGGATGGCTTCATTGACTCCTCCTAGCAAATATAAGGTTGATATGTTCATCCCCTCCATTGGTCTGAGGATGAAGGTAAGGCTCAGAGAAGGGAGGCTGTCTAACACACGGCTGAGATATGAACCCAGGGGTGGTGGGACTCCGAGATCCACCCCCTTAAACCATTCAGAGATCCCCCAGCCTCCGCCCCCCCCCCCCAGCTGAGTATGAGATGATCCCCATTCTACAGATAGGCCAGCAGGGCTAAGAGAAAACCCCATGCCTGAGGTCACTCAGTAAGAGTGACAGGTGGGATTTGAATCCTGGGTTCTGCAATCTAAAGCCCGGCCATGAAGGAAGGATCAAATCTCCCGCCCCCACCCAAGGGTGGGGTGTTCAGGAAACTGTGACCCAGCACGTGTCTCAGAAACCCAGTGGGTTTTGCTTCCTCCTTTTTTGTGGGCTGTGGTATCACACCCCAAGGCAGGCAGGGCATAAGCCAAGGGGCGGGGGATATCCTCCAGGCTGGGAGGGGCACACTTGCTGGCAGAGATGCATCCCATGACCAAAGAAGCAGCGCATAAGGACCAGCCGGGGCATTGCCCTGGAGCCCCGTGAGGGTTCTAGGTTACTGGGAACGCAGGAGCTGAGCTGAGGGAAATGCCAACAACTGTTAGCCTGGCTCTGTCAGTCCAGCTGCCCATGCCCACCTTCGATTTCACCCTGCCCTGTGCCCCCCAGGGACCTAGGGACGGGGATGCTGGAAACTTCTCCAACTGAGGCCATAGTCTTTTTCTGGAGACTGTGATGTGGAGGAAGGGGCACCCTAGCTAGGAGCCGGGGCCTCATAATTTCATTTCCAAAGTCCTATGTGCATTAAAAAAAAAAAAAAAGTAAAGGCCTACAATGGAAAGCAAGCATCTTGCCTTGGGGGTGGCTGGGGAAGGGGGGAAGGGGAGCCTTTTTTTTTTTTTTTGGCTGTCAGGATCCTAGATACAATCACATTTATTGAGAACCTCTTGTGTGTCCATTCTATATACTTGATAGATATTAATTCCTTTAGTTCAATTCTCAAATTGTGTATGTTCAAAACACACACACACACACAGTTTATTCATTCATTCATTCATTTAATTTCTTTCAGCCTTCTCCTAAATTTGCTCCTCCTCAGCCTTCCGCAGCTCAGCTATTGGGGCTTCTATCCTTGGCAGTTCCTCAGACCAAAACCCTTGGCTGTAACACACACACACACACACACACACACACACACACACACACGTCCCTCACACAGCCAGAGGGAGTCTGCAAATACTATATTAGTTCCCTGTGGCTGCTATAACAAATCACCACAAACAGGGTGGCTTAAGACAACTGAAAATTATTCTCCCCGTTCTGGAGGCCAGATGGCCAAAATCAAGGTGTTCGCAGGGCCATGCCGCCTCCTGAGGCTCTGGGGGATCCCTGCCTCTCCCAGATTCTGGTGGCTCTGCCTCCCTGGTCACGTGGTCTTCTCTGTATCTTCTCTTCTGTCTCTTAGAGACACTTGTCATTGGATTTCGTGCCCACCCAGATAATCCAGGATGATACCATCTCAAAACCCTTAATGTAATTACATCTACAAAGACCCTTTTTCCAATTAAGGTCACATTCACAAGTTCTGGAGATTATGGCCATGTTGGACGTATCTTTTTGGAGGCCACCATTCAACTGACTGCAACACCCAAGGCAGGCAGATCATGTCTCTCCTCTGCTCGGAACATGCCCATGGCCCTGTCCTCCTCACCACAGTCCAGGCAGCCCTGCACAATTTGGTCCTGTCACCTCTCTGACTCATCTTTCTTTCCCACTGCCTACCCCACTACAGACACACCGGCCTCCTGGCTCTTCCCTACCCAAATCAGGCACATTCCAGCCTCAGGGCCTTTGCACTGGCTGTTCCGTCTGCTAGAAACACTCCCTGAGAAGTCCATGTAGCTCCCTCTCTCCTCTCCTTGAGTTGTTTCTCGGGTATCCAGGGAGGCTCTCCCAGACCTCCTTAATTATTTTTTATTAAAGATTTTTTTAATTTATTCATTTGAGAAAGAGACAGCATAAGCGGGGGTAGGGGGAGCAGAGGGAGAGGGAGAAGTAGACTCCCTGCTGAGCAGGGAGCCTGACATGGGGCTCGATCCCAGGACCCCAGGATCATGACTTGAGCCAAAGGCAGACTCTTAACCAACTGAGCCACCCAGGCGCCCCTAGACCTCCTTATTTAAAATTGCAAACAATCCCAACCCCACCCCTACCCCTGCCCCGCTTCTCTATGGCATTTATTACCCTCTAACATATAATTATTTACTATCTCGTTTTTTGTCTTCCCTGGTGTCTGTTTTGTTCACAGCAGTATTTCCAGTGCCTACCAATACTAAGTATGTGTAAAATTAACAAACAGCCTTATAAAAAGTAGGTACTATTGTCACCATGCCCATCTTACAGATGGGAAAACTAAGGCACAGAGTCGTTGTCATTTCTGAAGGTCAAACGGTCATATAAGGGCTGAGGCTCATATTCAAATCAGGCATCTGGCTCTGGAATCCAAGGTATTGACTGCCTTGCAATCTAGTCCGGTCTAAACCACTTCTCCAGCACGTTTTTTTTTTTTTTTTAAGATTTTATTTATTTATTTGATAGAGACACAGCGAGAGAGGGAACACAAGCAGGGGGAGTGGGAGAGGGAGAAGCAGGCTTCCCACAGAGCAGGGAGCTCGATGCGGGGCTCGATCCCAGGACTCTGGGATCATGACCTGAGCCGAAGGCAGATGCTTAACTGACTGAGCCACCCAGGCGCCCCACTAGTTTTCTTTCTAAACACCTTAGGGGTATTTTGATAAAAAAAAATAACAGAAGTTAAAATTAAACGTGTTGTTAAGTCGCCATACAAGTTGGAAGCCTAAAGGTCACTAACAATTTGAATGAACTCCCTCTACCTTCTTCCTATTTGTGGTGTATTCGTGGGCATCCGTGCCCTACCTCTCCCTCAGTTTTGTTTTTGCTCATTTTATCTTCCCTAATTTTACATCACCTGCAGTTCCAACCCCAGATTTTTGTTGGTTTTTAAGTAATCTCTAGTGGGGCTCGGACCCACGACCTGGGAGACCAAGAGTCGCAGGCTCTAACGACTGATCCAGCCAGGCCCCTCTCAGCCCCATATTCTTAAATAAAACATTTCTCACCAAGGCGTTCGCAGGTCAACGGAAGGCAAATGTTTCCTGCCCCATGCCTCCCCTCCCCCACCTGGCAACCCTGCGGTCAGCCACCTCTAAGACTGTTATCATCTGCTTTTCCTGATGACCTCTGGAATTCCAAATAACCTTGATCTGTTAACATTTCTTGCTGGATCCATTTGGCCCATCCCCATTTGTCCCTCTACAATAAGAGGAGGGGATCTAACTCTGCTCTGCCCTTGCCAATCTGGGATCGGACCTTGTGGGGGAAGGGGTTTCCAAATTATCCTTTCAGATCTAGGCTGGATCTTCCGGTGAGGGGAGAACCGAGCTCCCTTTTGGAATTTTTTTCTCCCTTTTTTAAAAAAATCACAATGCGCATGCCCGTGGGACGCGGCAACACCTGTGTTGGCTTAATAATTATTCCTTAACCTGCAGAGATGTTTTTTTTCCTCTACTTTTCTGTAAGTCGCTCATATCGCACAATTTTTTTAAAAAATAGGCGTGCAATAAAAAGCAATCCTCACCCACCCCAAATCCCACTCTCGAGGCAACCACTTCTGACGCTGTCGCTTCTCTCCGTGATAAGCCTTTTCTGCAGTTAACCGTTGACTTCCTGCGTGGACGGAGGGGAGAGCGTGCTGCCCCTAATTTTGACTGGGACAGGTGGGCGGGGAAGGGTTCTTCAATTCGTTTCTCCAGCGGTGGTCTTAAATCCTACTTGGGAGATACGAGATGGGAAATGGGAAATCTTATTTATCTTTCCAGCCAGAGCCTGGACTTGAGAAACCAAATTTTTTAAAACCCCTATCAAAATATCAGTTGGCTTTTTTTAGGAAATCAAATACTGTTAACCAAACAGACTCCAGCAGAAAAGCCACCGTCTCCTTCCGCCACCCCGCTCTTCCCCACCCCCTCCACCCCGTAGCTTTCGTTGTCTTCGGCTGATTTTATTCGCTACACCTAGAAATCATATCATTCAACCTTGATCTCTCCGTTTTATTTTATAAGGCCTTTAAAAAACTTTTTGAGTAGAGTTGACATTTATACGTTTTTTAACAATTAATTTTATTTATTTTTGACTAGGTAATACATGCCCATGGTACAAAAATTCTCAAGGTTTGTAGACAAGAAAGATGTGGGATTCCTTTTTCTCTTTACCCGCGGCCTCCCTACCCCACACTGGGGCTCTGGGGGGTTGGGGGGTGGCAAAGCCCATCCCCCAGCCATGTACTCTACCCACCCCCGCCAGGTTGGCGGGACCGTATCTGGGGTACCCCGGCCCCCCTTCTCCCTGCGGTGATTCCGCGCGGCCTGCGCACTGCGCAGACTCCCCGCTGCAGTGGGCGGAGCCCCGTCTGGGCCCGCCCCCTCCTCCCTCCCGCCCCTGCTCAGCCTGTTGGGGCAGTAGCTGGGGCAGTAGCTGGGGCCCCGCGGAGGTAGCAGCTGCCGCCTGCGGAGTAAGGCCGAGTCCCCTTCGGGGTAAGGTGGAGGAGGATGGCTAGGGGGATGGGCTGGGGACTGGCGGTGAGGCCCCGATAGTCCCGGGCTCCCAGCCTGAGCTGTCTGGTGGGTACCTGAGGGTAATGGCAGAAGAGCCACCTGGAAAATGCCCCCTGGGTGGTCTCCGGCTTGCGAAAAGCCAGGCAAAGATTTGGGGCTCCGCTGACCCCATCCAGAGTTGTCTTTTGGGGAATGTCTAAATTAGAGCTCGGAGAAGGTAAGACGCCAATGGGGAGCAGCGTGAGCATTAATGAGCAGTGTGGGCGCTCGGGGGGAGGGGGGCCAGGGTGGGCGCTCAGGGCGGCAGGGTGGGCAGCATAGACTGATGGGAAGAAAGCTAGACGTTGGACCTTAAGGGATTTCGAAATCCCTGCTGACCAGCGGTCAGCTTCCTCCTTTTGGGGTGACGGGCCCCATGCCACTGGTCCCCGTGATCGGGGACAAGGAGACCCAATGGATCCCGTGAGCCCAAGACTAATCTGCTTTCCGTGATGTTCCCCTAAGGCCCAGAGCACCCCCACAGTGCCAGCTTTTGTTCCCCACAGTTTGGAGACCCTGACACACCCACTTTCCTGCCTGGGCTCGACATATCCCCTGGCTGCCTGGCAAGATGAAGCCTAAGCTGATGTACCAGGAGGTAGGTGGATCTGGGGCCCAGTGGGATGGGGCTGGGCGCAGTGGACGCCCCCGCCAAGCTGCCCTTTCACCCCCTCTACCATCCCCATCCCCCAGCTGAAGGTGCCTGCAGAGGAGCCTGCCAGTGAGCTGCCCATGAATGAGATCGAGGCTTGGAAGGCTGCAGAGAAGGTAGAGGAGTCCACAGCCACCCTCAGCCTGTCTCCATCATGGGCTGGGCTGCCCGCCATGGGCTGGCTCATCTCCGCCTCCTCCCCCCCCCCCACAGAAAGCCCGCTGGGTCCTGCTGGTCCTCATCCTGGCGGTTGTGGGCTTCGGTGCCCTGATGACTCAGCTGTTTCTATGGGAATACGGCGACTTGCATCTCTTTGGGCCCAACCAGCGCCCAGCCCCCTGCTATGACCCCTGCGAGTAAGTTGAGGAGGAGGAGGGGGTCCTCAGAGGGTGGCGGGAGGAGCCCTGCCAGGTGCGCAGGGACACTTAACACACTGAGCAGGGCCTGCACTGAGCCACACCCTCTGCCATCGCCCAAGTGCATCGCCACAGGGTCTTCCCTCCATCCCCAACCCCTTCCCCCAACACTGTTCCCATGACAGCCACAGCATCATTCTTTGTCCAGATCTGTCAACAGATAGTCACACACAGACACAGAGCATCATCCGTGACATTTGTGGACACATGCACACACACACAGAAATCTACATACACAGTCTTCCTTCGGCACGTCTAGACAGACAAACGCACAGAGAATCGTGAATACAGGCACACACAGATACATCATCTTCCGTCCTCTGTGGGCAGACAGGTGAGCACTCACATTCCAACCAGTTGTCTCTGGCCCCCTGTGGCTGATACCACCCCCCTCACCCCTCCCAGAGCAGTGCTGGTGGAAAGCATTCCTGAGGGTCTGGACTTCCCCAATGCTTCCACGGGCAACCCCTCCACCAGCCAGGCCTGGCTGGGCCTGCTCGCCGGTGCCCACAGCACTCTGGACATCGCCTCCTTCTACTGGACCCTCACCAACAATGATACCCACACTCAGGAGCCCTCTGCCCAGCAGGTACCTGGCAACCTGGGCCCTGGCTGACAGCAGGAGGGGTGGGGGTACCTGGGGGTGGAGGTAGGGTGGTGAAGGGGGCTCCCCTGCAGCCCGGGAGATGGGTGGGCACATGTCACACAGCAGGTGAGACACAGGTGATTGAAAGCAACTGTCTTCACATGGCCCTCTGGACTGGGGGCGTTTGTCACGGTCATCTGGAGGCCTCTGAATGTCAGGGTGTGGGTTTGCTTACGAGGCATTAGGCTGACAGATGTGCTCGCCCACAAACTGCCCCAAAACCCTGTCACCCAGAGAAATGGAAGGAGCGGGGTGAGTAACAGCTCAGCCTCAAGCCAGCCTGCCGCTGCTCAGCTGTGTGACCTTGAGCAGGTCACCTTACCCCCTCAGCCCTCAGTTTCCTGATCTGTGGAATGGGGCCAATATATAGCAGTTGCCCTTCTGAGAAGAAAACAGGCCCATCCATGCAGATGTCAGCTCAGCACCTGACGTGGTCAGCCTTGTCAAAGCGTTCGCCTTATATCCTTGTTATGGTGTGCAGGCACGCTTTTTAAAAAACAGAAAACTTCAAGATGCGGAAAAAGGAACAGCCTGGGTGGATAGCCCCTTCCTTGCAAAACACACTGAATTTGTCCCTTCTTTTTTCCTCCCCCCTGCTGCCTCTTTTTGTCAGAAGTGGGCTTAACATTTAGTAAAATTGTGGGGCTCCTTGAGCCCCGCCTGAAAAAAAAATAATTACGGAAGTTAAAAATGATAGGAGCGCCCACTCCCTGCTGGCTCCCACTGGAGTGGCTCAAAGCACAAAGCACAGCCATAGGAGGCAGGTGATGTGGGTTCAAATCGCATGTCATCCCTGAGTTCTCCAGTGCCCAGTTTTCTCCTCCGCACCTCGGGGATTATACTCAGCCCTGCCTCATCCGTGAGAGTGGTGAGAAATCGGTGAGTTCAGATGTGAAGGGGCTTAAAGGGGCCCGGCTCACAGTAGGAGACAGGGAATCCTTGGCCGTTATTGGCCTCATCAAGCCTCGGCCATACCTTCCCGGACCCCCGGCCTGTGCCATGGCCCCTAGCATCCTGCAAGGTGCTTGGAGGCCCCTGCAGTGCCAGGCATTGATGCTTCCAAGGCAGGATCTTGGGAAGGTTCCTGGCAGGACAGGAGTGTCAGGGAGGCCCTGGTGGGGCCCAAAGCCCCAGTAATTAAAACAGATGAAAGGTTTTAATAGCCTATAAAGTCATCCCTTGGTGTGCAGACAAATGGAAAGCCTGTTTACTTCTTTTTTTTTTTTAAAGATTTTTTATTTGTTTATTTGAGAGAGAGAGAATGAGAGATAGAGAGCACGAGAGGGAAGAGGGTCCAAGGGAGAAGCAGACTCCCCGC